TGAGGGCCTATTTGTTGAGCATTTTCAGCATTGACAGCTGCGTGTAGGGGCCGACCTCCAGAACAGAAGGTTTTCTAGAACCGAGCAGTTGAAGGAACCTCTAGCCAGGAAGAACAAACCTACACCTACTGCTTTAGGAAAGAGTCCATCCTACAGTGAGTTTCTAAGATTATAAATCTTTTCAGGAAGAGATTGCATATCTTTCTTCTGCTTAGATGGATTTGAACCACTTACCTTTTAGTGAGCAGACCATTTCATGACACACTACACTATCAAGGGTCCTTGCAAATCCTAGAAAAAGAAGGAGCCGATGAGAACGATACCAAAGTCATTAGCACCTCAGGTTCTTCTAAACACGTCACTTTATTATATTTAGAGTTACCAGTTATTATTAGTACTGTACATAAAACAGGCAGGCGCTTCAGCAAGACTTTTATTACATGTGATTAATTGGTGAAATTGTTTGATAATTTCCATACTCTATTGGATCACCTTTTTTGGAACAGGCAGGAATAAGTATGGATGTAAAAGATGGCAGGCACACTAAATCTTATGTTCCTAGGGTTGCTATCCATGAGTCATACTGGACAGCAGTTAACAACACAGCCACACTGGTGAGTTGTTCTGATGAGATTCAAGTTACGCTTTTTAAAGTAGTTGTGTGTGTGTGTGTTGGTTTGTTTTTTTTTTTACAGGAATAACACAGAAGTTATACTGGGTTCATAGAGTATCCTATCAGAAGACACATAAATTCAGTTTGTATTAGTAATGCTAAAGGGTTCATCTGTCAGGCTTCTCTACTGTAAGACTATTTTTGTTTGAAATGAATAATTGGTAGTGAGAGGCTTTGATTCCATGCAAATATCTTGTCTTTCATCCAAATTATGAGTTTGAACTTTGATTCATGATTTTTCCTGTGTCATTCCTTACTTTTTGGCACTCTGCTGGAAGAGCTTGCCATTGTTCCCTTCTTTCTTCCTCTTTTCCTTTTCTTCCTGACTTCCCACCATAATGAAAGAATTCATTCTCATTTGTGAGTTATGTAATGGATTATAATCCTTTATTATCTTTATTTTGATACCTGAAAGAATCTATTCCAGTTTGGCCAGTGAGAGTCTTGTTAAAAGGGCTCCTGTGGCCTCTGCTATATCCTTATGTCTCGTGTGATAAAAATAGCCTTTGGTTCATTTTGGGCTTTTCTTCCACTAGCAATGGAATTAACCATTCTCCAAGGAGATATGTTACCTTTTGGTAGGGAATGGTCTTTGAAAACCAACATCGGAGCATTTTGAGATTTTGTTGCTTCAAGACTCTCTTGTGTTTTGCATATTGAAATTTTAAAGCAAACCCAACAGCTTTTAATTGTGATTTGGGTGAAAGTTTACAAAGCAAATTTTTCATTCAACAATTCATAGCTGTTTTGTTTTGTGACACTGATGGCAATCTCCCTGATGTATCAGCATGCTTCTCACTTTCTACCTGGGCTTATTACTTCAACTCAAGCGTCTTTCCAACCCTTTCCTTCTTGAAGTACCTTTTTTTTGGTGAGAAAAATTTTTATTTAGAATTAGCCCGCTGGACTTAGTTTAGATGATCCCAATTTTGTTGGCAACATCCAAAGCATCATAATCAGGAGCAAGTCAAACATAGGCCTTCTTCTCTGCATCAGGCCTAATCAAAGTGTTGACCTTGGCCACATCAATGTCATAGGCTTCTTTACAGCTTGTTTAATTTGGTGCTTATTGGCCTTGACACCCACAATGAACACAAGTATGTTGTTATCTTCTATCTTCTTCATAGCTGACTCAGTGGTCAGGGGAAATTTGATGATGGCATAGTGGTCAAGCTTGATTCTCCTGCGGCGCTCTTCCGGGGGTATTTGGGCTGCC